CAGGAATTTAAAAGCCACAGGTTGCACTGGGAGGCTGAAAGGAGGTAAGATATCCAGGTACATAATTCAAAATCTAGTTCAGATAATGTTTCACCTTTTCCCTTGACTGAGTACTGGTTTTGCAAAAATAACCAATTTCAATAATCTGAAATAAATCAGGCTAAACTCACAGAAATCCAACTGCCATAACACCACCAGCAGAGAGTTCTTCAGAAAGAAATTTAGATAGGACACAAAAGACTTCTACTGTCCTTCTCTGCTATTGTATACCTGTTGTATGACTAAGCTGAGGCCTTCAGTAAATCCAGGTTTCCTTTTTTTAAAGAGAATAATTAAAAAAAGAAACAGGGATAATAAATTAATGCTAGTTTTAGCACAGCGTTTTTTTTTAAGAAGCTGACTCACACTTTTAAAGTTCTCTTCAAGACTAACATGAAGGCAGCTTTTAAGGGGTAATTTCAAACTGGTCCTACTTTGCATTGCTGGCTATATGGCATGCTAAAGTGGGACTTAATTTTTTTTTTGAAGTCACTATTTTGAAGTGTATAGTCTGGCAATTTCCCACTGTTCTCCTTTTCAGGGGAGTTTTGATTAAAAATAGCACTTCTCAGGTCAAAATATAACTATCCATCAAGAAGTGATTGTTATCACTGCATTCCTTCCTCCCCCAAAAGGCATTTATGAGAAACTGTAACTCGCTGTCTTTCCCTTCGAATGTGCTTTGAGATTAACAGCTGAAAGAGGTGGCGGAATTTGCAACTGCTATGGGAGCCAGTAAATCTACATTACAACAGCAATTCCATTTTAGGCATAAATATTCCTTTTTCTGCTGTCAAATCAATACTTGGAGTTTATAAGTCACTTTCCAACTGTATGGTGCTTTCTGTGTTTGCTCTCGTAGTCACTGATCTTCACAGTGCCTCTGCCAGTACAAAATATACAGAAGCGGAAGAAAGGAGAGAGGGGAGGGAAAATTGGTGGTCAACAGGCTATGGCTCTCTGCTTCGCACAGCCGTTAGTTTGCTGTGCACAAGCTTTTACACAAGTATCATCCCCACTCCAGCACTGCTTCTTCCAAGTTTTGTTCTGAAGACTAAGGCTGGCATTTGGAACAAACTCAGATTCTCTCTTTTTCTCCAGCCATCCTGTGAAATAGATGATTCACTATACCCATTTGTAGTTTGCTGGAGCTTGAAGCCTTCTCGAGGTCACTTTTGCGTGCCCTGCTGCAAAACGCTTAAAGAGCGCTTCTGCCCCCAAAGAACTCACAAGCTACAATTACACGGACATGCAACAGGTAAATTAAATGGACTGGGGACAGAAAAACGAACTAAGAGACTTGGAAATGCTCGTGAGTACTACTTAGATACTCAAGAAAGTAGGGCACTAGGACTTTACTTGGACTCCTCGCTCACATTAGCGTTAGGGTTGCTCTCAGTGAATTGGGGTCAGTCAGGCTCCAAAGCCTTTAGCACTTAAACACCATTAGGGACCTGGATTTTGGCAAAGAGATCTTCAATACAGCCCCCCTGCTATCAAGGACAACACTTCCTCACAGTTTTCCTGGTTCTACTATTGCAGTTACATCTGCCTTGTACTCTGCTGCCAAAAGTGGAAGAGTACCTACTCTCTGCAGTGTTATTTTGGTTTTGCTACATTACCCTTTTCTCCTTTTTTCTTCCTGGTCCTGTCCAGGTGGTCTTTCAGCATGATGCGCACTTGCCGCTCATTCTGCATGTCTCGGATGAAGGAATGCTTAAGCAAGGTTTCAGTGGACGGACGATGCAAATAATTTTTTACAAGGCAGCTTTCAACAAAATTCAGGAATTTCTTTGACCTGAAAAAGAAAAGCGGAGGAAAACAATAATCCTTTTCAACTTGTATGCCAAGTGTTTCCTTTAGCGCTGGAATTGTGTGAGGCAATCTGAGTTCTGCCACCAGTGTCCCTCCCAAGACCAGCACCACACTGAGGGCCAACGATGAAGAACTCCACCTCAACTGCCCTCTCAGTGGAGTTACCCTGAATTTACATCTGGATCAACAAAATCATCACCTGGCCAATGAAACTCTTTCAAAAAGGCCCTTACCCTTCTGATATGGTGAAGATTTTCTTTATACACATCATTTAAAAGACAAACTAATTCTCTGCAGGCCACGGTGACTGCCATTAGCCCTGCAATGTCCATGCAGTCTTCTGACACAGCTCTGATTCCAAGAAGCCCATCTAAGCCCTGCCTATACTGCAATTTCAGCCACCCATGCCAAACTTTAGCAACTGCAATGATTACCGCAGTTTGGGCAGTTCAAAAGAAAGGAGCTCCTTCCCAAAGGTCAACTACATCTGCACCTGTGGCTCAAGCCAGCACTAGAAACAGCCTAGGAAAGATCTCATAGATCACTGTAGGATTTGACAAGATCGTTGCCTCTGGACAAAAGAGCTCAAAATCCTCAGTCCAATGCAGCAAAAATACATTTTTTACACATCTCGTTACCATTTTCTGGATTTCAACTTCGGGGGCGGGTTCCGTGGGATGAGGAAGAGTGCTCTCATGGGGTGCATGTCACACAGGGCTGCAAAGGAAACCACAAGCTATTGAAGGATGCACGGCCCCCCTCTGTCCCTCCCACAGCCTGACCACGCTGACCCAGCTGGGCCAGGAGCCTGGTTCTCCCGACAGAGAGGAGCAGTCCTCCACAAACACTCCCACTTCCAACAGCACAGCATCCGCCGCAGAACCACACCGTTAGTCAATGAAATTCATGCTACAGCCAAGAAATAAAGTCTCTGAGTACACAGAAATCTTTCCCGACAGTCTGCTGTTATTGCCAGCTAAAAGAGATTTGAAAGAAAGGCTGCACTTCAGGAACAAGTACAACTTTCTTCATACTGTTAATATATTAAGGTTTCAGAAGAACGTACAAAGAGCCCAACCTTCTAATACACCAAAGAGTTTTTGCATAAATAGAAGTAAAAAGTTGGGATTAAAATACTTAACCAGTTTACTATGTCTGGCTTACGGTTCAGATAAATGATAAGCTAAATTTTAACCAAACTCTTAGCTACGTCGCTCACAGCATAAGAGAAAACGCAGGATGAAGAAAACCTGATGGAAAGTGGAGAGCTCATAAACTGCGTCACTGGCACAGAGCGCAATGACTAAGCACACATTTCATCTACTGTGTTTCGGAGCGCGAGCACCGTTATTAGACAATCTGCAACAGATCCTACCCATGCAGTCAGCGGCTGGTTTCTCTCCAGCCCAATGTACTTCTCTTTAGTGTTACTGTTGTGGAAAGTTGAAGCTACAAAGAACTCTGCAGAAGGTAAATACCGTCACATCTCATCTAACCCAGGCATTTTGTATGGAATTATGATGGTGCTCCATCTGCCATGGAGAAATAGCAAGGGTCAGAGGTCTTCTTCACAAAACAGAGCTACTGAATGACAACTGATACACGGAGGCTGATTTCTTAGGATATACAGGTGTTCCGCAGTGATTGTCTTAACAGGAATGGACTGACAGCATTACAGAACTAGTGAAAGTGAGAAGACTGTGGTCCGGCAAAGCCTTCACTGCCTTCTATTCCTTTCTCTGCTGTTTCTCACATCTGGGTTGTCTTTTTGTCTTTTTCTTTTGTATTTTCAATATCACGTGATACAGTGGGGACAGGGGGCAGAAGAACTCTGGTTTCTAGCTATGGGTCCCAGACACTGTCGTACTACAGTAAACAAAACACAATGCAGCAGAACACAATCCATAGTACTTCCCTGCCAAAACTGGTGAAGACAAACACAAGTGGCATGAGGCATTAGGACGTAAAGCCACAAAGTCTCTCTCAAAGAAGACTCAGAAAGAGTCCCCATGAACTCAGGTCTCAGGATTAAGCTTCAGCCACGCTGAAGCACAGTGTCTGGAAGTGCTCCTGAACTCCAGCTGGCTCCTGAGCGCTGCTCAAAACCAAGTCTGACAGGAGAACAGCCAAGTGTTTTGTTAAAAAACACAGCCTACGTGCTCTCAGGCTCAGGCCAGAATATAATTTATTTCATCTCCTGTGCTCTCAGCAGTGACCGGATACCCCACCGCATCACATCTGCTTTGTGGGCGCTGGGGGAAAGCAACCGGTCCTCCGCGGAAACCAAAACGCACGAGGGCTTTGCATCCCCGCGGCAGCACCGGTCTGTGCGCGGCGGCTGCGAGAGGTGAACTGGGGGGACAGTGGTGGGCGAGGGCAGGCTGTACAACCATGGCAGTCTGCTGTCAGGTTGAGACTGTGGTCACAGACTGAAGCCATTATGTGAGCAAACACAGTATTTATCCCCAAATCTGCGAGAATCAAGTCAGTTCCAGAGTAAAAATACAACCTTCAGGCCCAGCTTCTCCCACTGTCAGATTTTTTTTTTAGCGACCTAAGCCCAAAGCCACTCTTGTCAACTTTTTCTGCTAACATGTCAATCACTTCTGCTTAGCCGTACCCACAGGCAATGACCAACAAAGTGATGCTAACGAGAGCTCTAAGAAGAAATTTTTTGCTTCCCTAGGAAATGAAGGCAAGGAATCAAAATGCAGACTTAAAGGGTCTAAAAGGAAGAGGAAAGCAAAAGAGTCTAAAATGAGAAAAAGTCATAGGTTATTCTTAAAGACACAGCCAGAATCACAATTTTGTACATCTGTGCGTTAGCCAAGCATGAGTTATTTTAACACAGAACATGTTTGTAAAGCATAGACACCCCGTCTTTATACCAAATCACTTACGAGGAGCTCCTTCAGCCATTTCAATAGCAGTGATTCCCAGAGACCATAGATCACTCTGCAGGAAAAGAAACATTGCACATTGCAACTTGCAGAATTCAAGCTTTTTTTGTTTGTTTGTTTTCTTTTGGGTTTTTGGTTCCTTTTTTTTTTGTTTGCTTGTTTTTACAGTTTCCCCAGATTTCTCCTGGATCAGGACATTTTAGTTGGAGCAACACACATTCTGCTCCCTCCCGTTCCCTACCGAGCTTTTAGGAAAATGCTAATAGCCAGAAGCTTCCCATTTCCCATGCAACTCTGAACAGCTGACTCATCATTTAAGCAGCCAGCCCCAAAACGCAGACCTTCTGCATTCAAAAAAACAGAGCCAGAACATAGCAGGCACCGTTTAAATACATGTCTTAAATCTTTCAAAGATTTCATGAGGCAGCGAGACACAGCAGTGTCTCGCCCCCCTGCTCCTGGCCAAAAGAATTCTTGGTCTTAATGCTTATTTCAGAGCAGTCATTGCTGAGTTTCTACATTGATGGAACAAAAATTATAGGCAGGCCTTGGGGGCTGGCTTGTTGTGTCTACAAAGTCTCCAGTCTCGTGTTTTTGGGCACATGAAAGGAGAGAGCACATCATACAGTCAGATTCACGTCGCAGTGTATGTTCAGCTCAGTTAACGTTGAGTGGAGTTTCCTTTATCAGCTTACCTGGATACTAAGGGCCAGGTTTTGATCGTGGAAGGTTAAATGGGAAACACTACCAATGACTTTAAAAACTTCACAAGTTTCCAGTTGATTAATCATGCGCACTATTTTACTATTTTTTTGTGTCTAAACGTAGCCAAATGACAGGCACGTGACCAAAACAATTTGCAGGGCTTCTTTAAAACTATCTTTTAGAAAAAGCTGTGAGAGAAGACAAACCTTCAAAGATGAGAAGCAATATACTATTACATGAAAAGCAGCTCATACCCAGCCTGCCACTCTAACTAAATTTGACTTTATCAACAAAGCCTTCTCAGTCCAGCTGCTCTCAACCACTTTACGCAAGCTGAAAACTAGTTCACATCATAGTTTGTGGAGGGATTTGTCAAGAAAACTGGTGAGAGTTTAACAGAATCAGGGCCTTGACTTGCTATTAAGTAAAAGACTTAAAATTAGGAAAGTCTTCTGGGGTACCACAGGTTTTGAGGACAATGGGAGAAACAACCAGGCTGCAAAGAATTTTGGTTTGGAGTTTCAAAGTACGGGAGGCAGACAGGTGAAAGGGAGGATGACAGCATTTGTAAAGGTCAATGTGTATACATACATATTTATGCGTATTTATTTTTACTCATTTGTTATAATCTTTTTTTTTCTTTTTTAAATCTAAGCTGGAACAGCAAGAAGTTAGAGTGGCTTCCTGCTACTTTGCTCATCGTATCAGCTACAAATCTCTGTAGAAAAGACCGGCCCGATGCCACCTTCTGAGTCATAGCAATGTCTGCACCAGTACTTCCAAAACCCTCTGCTGATCAGTTTTAAACTACCATCTGCAGAATCTATTTGGAAGCACACATAAATGCACGCAGATGAACTATGATTATTACTAAGGCAAAGAAACCTCAAGAATTAGGGCTGCAGGTTCCTAATGCTTTTATCTTCTGAAAAATACACATTCCGAAAAGGAAATGGACTTGGGTCAGGGAATGAAGACAAGAGATTAATTTCTCGAGGTTTCAGCATAAGGTTTACATGGGATGAAAAATAAAATGAAATCCAAGAACATTCCTTGGTCATGACTGATGCTCACACAACATGACCTCACTGTGCTGGTGCAGCACAGAAGGTCTCAGGAAGGGAGAATCACAGCCTCTGAATCACTAGCAACTGGAAGCAATAACAGGTTCTTCTAATAGATATTTATGAAGCCACAATCAGAATGACAGGTGCAAAGTGGCAACCAAGGGACCACCTGAACCAAGAGAATGACTGGAGGGTCACTCAGAAGGATGGCTGCTCAGAAAGCCACCCCTGGAAGACATCCTGCATGGTTAAGTGTAGACAGACAAATGACAACACTGCTGGAAACAGGCTGTCCTGGTTTTGACTGGCACAGAGGTGGGTTTTTTTAGCATCTAGAAGAGCTCTGTGATTTAGATTTAGTCTGGGACTTGTTATGAGAAGAATGTCCACAGCGCACTGATGTTTATAGTCGGTGCTGAGACAGCAAGGACTTTTCAGCTTCCCATGTTCTTGCCAGTGTGCAGGAGCACAACAGGATGGGGGGGAGCATGGCCAGGACAAAGGGGCCTCAACTCCCCTTATGATTTGAAACTAGATTTAGGATTGAGAGATAAATTGGCTAATGGAGTAGTCCATATGATGCAACATCAGCTCAGTATATAGATGAGGGTTGACAAGGGAGAAGGGCTCTTGCTCTTCCGGGAATTCTTCTTCCAAGGGCTCTCCTGGACTCCTGGTCTCCCAGAGTGCGATCTCTCTCTCCCCATCCCCTTTCAGGCCTCTCACTCATCTGGGAGTGAGGTGTCAGGACTTATCTGTTTTGGAATCATTTGCTGGGACGAGACAGGCGTTGATCACTGGGTGGTGAGCAATTATACTGTGCATCACTTGTTTGTATACATTATTATCTATATATATTAATATATTATTGTTTTATCATTACTTTTACTTTTATATTATTAAGTTGTTCTTATCTCAACCCACGAGTCTCTCTCCCTTTTCCCCTTTAATTCTCTTCCCCATTCCCCAGGGATGGGGGAGGATGAGCAAGTGACTGTGCGGCATTTAGTTGCCAGTTGGGCTAAATCACGACACAGGCCAGAGGACAAAGAATAAGCTTTGTAAATCACTTTGGAATAGCATCAGCATATTGTAAGAGCTAGGAGGAGAACAGGTAAAAGTGTTGGATAGCTGTTCTTGGGCTCTCCAGTACAAGGAAGTCACGGAGATACTGGAATGGGTGCAGCGAAGGGCCACAAAGATGTTTAAGGGATCGGAGCTGGGAGGCTCTGGGCTAAGAGATGGGGCTGTTCAGCCTGGAGAAGGGAAGGCTCAGGAGGATCTCATACATGTGTACAAATTCCTGATGGGAGAGGAGTAAGGAAGAAAAGCCAGACTTCTGAGTGGTGCCCAGTGATGGGACAAGAGGCAACAAGGCACAAGCTGAAATACAAGAAATTCTGTGCCTTCTCACCTTGGCCACCCTGCAAATTAATAGAAGCCATTCTGGGATGGGAAACCTCTTCCAGTCACCTGCTCATGAGTGAAGTGATGCCAATTATTGCCAACTAACTCAGGATTCGCAGCTGAGTACAGAGTATAACAGCTCTATCACAGAGTAGAGCAGTAACTTGCAGTGTCACTATTACACTACTTCAAGTACTCCTTCCAAATCTACCTCTTCCTTTCTTTTCTATCCTGACCTACAACCTCTATAATCAGTGGGGTTTTTTTTGCACAGAAGTTCATGAAAGTGTATTTCGTGTATTAACAATTCACGAAAAACTATTCATAATGAAAATCCACTCTTAAAAAGAACCACAACCCACATATTACAAAAAATGCTATTTGTACAGTTATAATATTACTGTGGTTTAAAAGCAGGGAAGTTTGCACCTTTCAAACGCAGTACTCGAGAAGCATTTCAGCAATAACCTGCACATTTGCTACCTCACGCAGAGCTGTAACACTTACTCTGTAATCATACGTAGAGTCTGGGTTCTCCTCGCAAGCAATGACCTCAGGTGCCATCCAGTACGGTGTGCCAATAAATGTGTTTCTTCTTCCAATAGTCCTATCCAGTTGAGCACTTACACCAAAATCCACTGAAAAGCCAAGCAGAGGTAAAGAACTCAATATTGTATCCACATGGCAGAGCGCTTGTTTGGTTACTTTCACGCTGTTTAGAACACCAAACCTTTGGGCTACAATGCATATAAAATCTGAGGTACATCTTGTCCAATAGTTGAAATTTAACTGCCTTTTTTTTTTTGTCTTTTTGACAGAAAGATCAAATAAACTGCACGCTAAATCTGCCAGGCAGGTTACAGCAGACAGGAACTGCTCTAGGAAGACGTTACAAAATAATTTATGCTTAACCTAAAAGCTACATGAAGTAGGACTCGAGATCTTGAACTGGTATCTGAAAGGAAAATAGTACCTAAGGACAAGGCAAATTTGGAAGTGCGTACTATGGCCATTTGTGAAAACTGGAAAGTACTATCACATCACTTCATTTTGAGGTGTTTGGAATAACTCCTTCCCTATATTCATACACTATCTTAGAACAAGCTGGGGAGGATACTAGTTTATTCTGATCTTAGACTTATTGTAACGAGAGAATCGCGTGGTGCTTTTTGTGCTGAAAAATGGGTAACAGGATTGTACAGCAAAATGGTTTTGTTCAGATATGGAGAAGGGCCCATACAACTGGTAATTATGTGACTGTATTTTCCTTTGACCAAACCTCTAAGATACACTAATTAGATCCACTGGGCATAACACTTGAGTACTATTCACAGAGAAGATAAAGTAACAGGGAAAAGAAAGGACTGAAAGGAGAGAGCCCTATAGTTGCCATCAAGGAGCAGATTTTCTCGCTTATGTTTACCGCGTTGCAGATAATCTGCAAACCACAAACATTTGTACTACTGTAGTTTAACATGCCTGTTTAGCAAACCTCCTCCAACAATAAGCTGGAGCTGACTTTTGGGATCACCATGTGCTCTGTGCTTCTGATGGGAAGGGTGCATAGTCACTGAAGTAACAGAACTGGACTGAGGACCTCTTGGGTTTCTAGCTTCTTTAAGATACATAAGCTAAATCTCTCTGGAAACAACTCTTTTTTTTTTTTTTTTTAAATTGTCCTTAGTAAAACTGTTTCATTGTTTCCCAGAGATAGCAAGGTTTAACTTTCTTTTAGAGACTGCAAGCAAAATCCTGCCTTTATTTAATACAACAGCAAAACTCCCTTTGTCTTCAGTGAAGCCAGGATTTCGCCATAAGGTTAAACCATAACGAGATTTAAAGTACTTATTTTTACTTGCTCCAGCCAAACATCCTACCCCACATCCACAGGCCATGTTTATTATTTTTGTTCTCCAACTTCACAGTGAATTCTTTCAATTGAAGAGAGAGGGAGCATAAAGATCATCTCAAAATAAGAGAAGAGCTCTCCCTGAGACTGCTCCTTTAAATCATTGCCATGTGTTCTCTGCGATGTCTTCCCAAAACATGAAAGACATCCCCTCCTCAAGAGAGATAAGCACTTGAGTTTAGTCTTAGGAAGTCCAAAGTTGTCAACACTGGCATGTCACAGCTAGAAAAGGATATAAGTAAACTCCCCAACATTTTTGAGAGATGACTATTAGTAAGAGCTACTCGTCAGTGGTTGCCCTCAAACATGAGTAATTTCACCTATTGTCAGATTTATGAAAATCTCTAAGACCGCTTCCCTTAGAGAATGGATTAGCATAATTTATTTCCCCAACTTTTTTATTTTGGAAGTCTTTGCATGCTGGGATCTTCTGTAAGGCCTGATGGTACTGTGACTTACTAGACAGGTTCTGCACTCGACTGCCCAGAAGTAGCTGTATTCCCCACTGGCTGTGAGTGACACCCCTGCAAAACATGTCACTTTTTCAGCTCTTTCTGATAGACACTTTATAAACACAAGCATTAATGCTACTTGACATATCTGTTGCTCCTAGGTCACTTTCTGAGAAGGTTCTTTCTGAGCCAAGATGGAAATCTTAAATATTTGTGATCATGTTTGTAGCACACATTTAAGGAAACTTACCCAGTTTTACTTCTGCATTTTCTGTGAGAAGAACATTCTGTCCTTTAATATCTCGATGGATGACATGGTGTGCATGAAGATGTGCCAAACCCTGAAAGAAAACCAGACTTTCCTTATTCTTTCTTCCTGTCATTAGCATGAGCATGACATTGTTGCCTTTTTACACTTTTACACTTCTCAGACTGTATTCACAGAGAAAGTCCTTTAGACTTATTAGCAACATGAAGACTTCACTTTTGGGGAGGAGAGAAGACAGCAATAACAAGTTCGATTGTCTTTTTCACCCACAGGCCTGACAGTAGCGGAACGTCTCTGAAGTCAAGTGTGAAGAGAACAAGCTAGTGACATTTTAAACTTCTGTCTTGGAATCAAGGGATGCCTCCTTAGACTATGAGATAAAGCAAACAACAGAAGGAAGGAGCAAGGCAGAATGCTCTGTATAAGGACCAGAGACAGCAGCTGGCTGGCCACAGTGGCTTAAATTCTCCATTCAGCAAAACTGTGTTCAGTGGTAAATGGACCACAGGAACGTCAAATTATTATGTCAGATATCTTTTTGAATGCAGCAAATATTGTTTTCATTCAGCTAATATTTGCAATACTCTTGTCTCCTCCATTCTTCCAAAATTGTCCATGGTTAAACTAGCATAGATATGAAGGAACACACTGAAATAATATATTATAGTAAGCCAAGGGATGCTTCACTCAAAATGCTCAGCCTCTATAATATTAATGACTTCAAACAGAGCTTCCACCCAGCTTCCACATTTTCCAAGAGGAAACACTGTCAGTTCACATGTAACTGTGTCATTCTGTTTTGAAACAAGCATGATTAAATTCAAGCTCTTGGTTTACACCAGCATGCTGTTATGGTTTTCAGTTGCATGAGCGTAAACCAAATGTTTTAACATCAACTGCTTTAATAGAGACAATACAGCCACACAAATGAAGATCAACCTGTCCAGATTATTAAGTTGTTTTTTTTTTTTTTTCAGAAGAGCTCTCCCCACACTCTCCAGCTATAGCTATTACAACCTGCAGTCTAACGCCAAATCCTTGTAAGACGGCCAATGTTCTCTACTGAGCACACTTCTCAACAACTCTGCTCCAGAAGCAGAGCTTTACCTCTATTCGAGCATTACTTTGGCATGCCATTTGAATTCCAGCTCCCAGAATACACATTTATCTTACCATTATTTAGAAAAGAAGTAAAACTCCATTACAGGGAGGACGGATCAGTAACTCTGTAATGGGTTTTGAATTTAGAATGACAGGTTCCAATACTACTTTTTGTTCCAGGCTAGTTCACTAGATTACACTTGGGAATTGTTCTATCCTCTGTACTTTCCAGGAACAACAACACCAACAAAAAATCCACACAAAAAAAAACCCCAACCCCCACAAAAAAAACCCCACAACCCCCACAAAAAAAACCACAACAACAACAACAAAAAAAACACCACCAAAAAAGCCCTAAGCCTATATAGAATGAAATACAGCCCCAAGAATTATCTTGGGGAATATTGCCCCAGCAGGGCCACCTTTACGATTCTGGAATGCTGTTTAGTCAACGTTGCTTCTAATTGTGCACAAAGAGGCCCCTGAGTGTGTGCAGGTAAAGGAATTATGAACAGAAAGATCTTACACAGCATGAACAGCTGAAGCAATGAGCAGTAAGATTTCCTGATGGGAAGAACAGACTTACTAAACCTAGAAATTTTATTTACTTTTCTAAATGCCCAGAATCTAGACTTTCAGAAGATGGCTATTTTCCATAGGAAACAGGAATTTTCTGTTCTTTATACAGAAAACAGGATTAACTACAATAATACAGGATGTCATGCAGCCATCACGCTGGCTCTTGGTGCTCTTCTGAACTCAAGGACCACAGCCCATGAGTCCCATGGATTAAAACCTTTAAATACTAATGCTCATTAGTGACCCATGTTATCGACCAAAGGTTTGGAAAGGCCTTTTTGTTGCAAACGAGCAACAAAGCTCTTTCAGCACGACTCACCCTAAGAACCTCTCTGCAGATGTACGCGATCCAGTCTTCCTTGAAACAGTTCCCTTTTGTCTTCTTCACCAGGTCAGTGACAGAGCCTGCACCACAGTATTCCATCACCAACTGCAGGAAAACAAAGGCAATACACCTTTACCGCAGCACTGACAAGGTGCCAGCAGAGATACCATGTGCAAACACCCACGCCACCACAATCAAGGTGTGGCAAACTACATGCGACCTTCCCCGATGCCAAGTGAGATAAAATATCATTTCCTGAATCACACACATTGCTGAATAAATAAAAAACCTCAGTAGTGCTCCTCTCCTATTGCAGGTTATGAGTATTTCTTTTCTTTTTTTTTTTTTTAAGAAACTACAAAATCAGAAAAATAAGAGCTAATAGCACTGAAGAACATAAGAATTTCTTCAAAATGTGAAATTTCTCATTTTGTTGCAGAGCTTCACAAATCTTGCAGCCAAAAAAATTGAAAGATTCATTTATCTTCTTTACTTTATCGCCAATTCCTGTGTTCCCTTTTTTTTATTTTCCAACTGAAAAAAGAGAGAGGAAAGCAACAAGAAAAAGGAGAGGAGGGGACAACAAGCTCTCTTTCACTTTTGTTAAAACAAAAAAAATTACAAAATTATGGAAACATTTAATTTGGGGAAGAAAAAAAAAACCAAACCTTGAACGACAAATCAGAATGACAGCACAAGTCACAAGTATATGCTCATCCTCAAAGGAAATCATACGGGAGGAACATTTTTTTTCTTTTATGTATTATTCTTCAGAACAATGACTTCAGTTCCACTGAGACAGAGTCCAAGCCAAGCACATGGGAGCTCTGAAGAAAGGAGCTATAAATCTGATTAACAGAAATGACACTAAACACTTACCCAGAGCTGATCATCTTGGCCTGCAGGACTTTTCTTTACAAACGCACCATAATATGTAGCAATATTCCGGTGATGGGAATACTTTTTTAGCATATTTATCTCCAGCTTGATTTCTTCCTCTTCATTCTGTAGCAAAAGAGAGCAGAAGGCTCCTTAGGTGACCAGAGATCACTGAGCTCCAGGGCTGCTGGGCAACCTCTGTCTCTGGAGGCTCTCAACACCCAGCTGGAACCAGCCCTGAGCGACCTGCTTTGATCCCATGGCTGACCCTGCTTTGAGCAGGAGGTTGGACCAGAGACCTCCTGAGGCTCCCTCCAACCCAAGTTATCCTGTGATTATGAGACTGCAACTGAAGCACAGGTTCTTAAACCAACAACGAAATCACTCTGCTCCATCAGCCTAAAGCAATGAATTGCTAGAGTTTCACCTAAAGAATCAAAAATATCCTGATTTGGCTATAACAATCTCATATTGCCTCCTCAGGGGGCTTAGACAGGACCTATTACTCCCCTATTTGTGGTTTCTTTATGCAGTAGAATGGTCTTGGAGAAATTAACTAGATTCAAACAAAAAAATATTCCAAACACTCCATTATTTACTTCCTTGGAAAAGCACTCAGTGCGCATATCAACCGATTTGTCTTCCCAGCCCCGTGGAGGGTCTTGCTGGGAGGAAATCAGAGCCGTGAAGGAGGCGACTCCCCACAAGTCAGACTCCAGAGCCAGCACAGGGTAAGGATCTGCTCCTTCCTTCCACCTGTGAGGTTATCCCACCTGGGCCAGGGAGGTTTTTTCCCCCCTTCCAACATCATGCCGTCAGTTCAGTCGCTGGCGTGCCGGCGATTAGCACACCCCGGACACCTCCTTCCAGGCACTGGCTAGCTCTGTTTTCCCACTGTCTTTGTTCCAGCCTCTTCAGGGCAGACGTTCTCTTCTGCCCAGTACAGCACCATGCACAATACAACAACTAACCAAAACATAAGTTTTAATTGTTACATCAGAAGGAAATGCACATTTTCAGGAAAAAATTGTCTGATCTGAAGAGGTCCTCTCAGAGCTAGCAAGTTTGCTGTGTTGCCACCAAGAGAAACAGTGCACAATACCCAGTGAAACACATGCAGATTTTGGTGTCTCATTTGCTTTAATAGGAAATGAGTGGCGGTGCTGCAAGGTATCCTTGTACTGGTTAAAAGGAGTATGACAAAGCTGAAAATGAATTTACCTTGCTGCAAAACATCCCAGTCAGCACTTAGTAGCCAAAGGGAGAAAAAAAAAAAAAAGAGGCAGCAAGAACAGCTCAGCCTCATCGGGCATATTTCTGCACTTTTCTGCTATTTTCCAGTCGCTTTGCCATTGAAGCATTCCTTTACCCATCACAACAGACTGCTTACAAAACCAGCTGCATTGTCCTTTCTACCTGTAGCAAAACCTTAAAGCCTGACAGGCTGAGGCCAAATTCCCTCTAGCACATGCATATGATGTGTCTTATAAACCCAACTACACAAAAATCATTCCCAACAGAACAGAAGGGACCAGTAAGTTTTGCCCAGTAACATCAATCCACAGGAGACACATTACCAGACCAAAGCCTAATTGTCTAAAGCTTTAGGAAATAGGAAATGTAAAATAACTCCACTTGAAGCAAAATGAGATATTTCAGGTTTCAGAACAGCCCCTTGTTGAGCTCTCAAGCTGCACACATTAGACTAGATATTTCATTTATCTTCTGTTTACAATTAAGGAGAAAAGACGACCCTTAATCCTCAGCTTGATGCAGCCCTGGCTGTTGTCTGAGTTAATTAGTGAGGGGAAGGAGGAGCCCAGTGCAGCATCTCGAGTGTACAAGAGAAATCAGAGCTGACTCCCAGACAGCATGAGGGAAACTCTCCATGAACAAGGTCCTATTTCTGCATGTGGCCAGGGCACAATCAAAGGGAGCTGAGAGCTTGTGCTGATGCTTTCTAGGAGGGGAAGCAAGGCTCTGCTCCCTTTGGGACTCCAACAGTGTACGTGAAAGGATGGAAATAGACAGGTGAAGGCAAGGAGGCAGAGAATAAGGAGATGGGAACTGCCATCCTGGACCTGTCCACAAGGCTTCTGTCACTGATACGAGTTTCTAGTAACAGATCTTTAGGGAGGAAGGACAGAAAGCGGGACAAAGAGGAAGGACTCCTTTCCTCCCCGTGCTGCCTCTCCTGCATCTGGCCCACACCTTCTGCTAGGGCAACCAAACATGTGAAGGGGCAACGTTAATCTTTGGTAAAGGCCTTCCCCAAATTACTTAAGATCTCTTCAGATCTTAAGGTTTTGGGGTTTCCAAACTCTGCTCATCTGCATGAACTCTGCAGTGGTGGGGCAGGACTGAAAAGCCTCCCCCTACGCCCTCAGCAACAGCCTGCAGCTTTCACAAAGTTCCCCTCGGGGAGCTGGCAGATCTCAACCATTTCCTCAGAGCTGTTGCCTCTTTTTCAGCTCTTCTTCCTTTGCCCAATTAACTTCCTGGATGCTGGAACCATGCTGGCACAGCTCTTTTCTGAGTACTTTCTATTCCTCTGCAATCTCACCTCCATGTTTTTAAAACAAAGATAAGCAAGCGCCTGTTTGTGAACACAGCTGGAATTCCAGGCAGGCTCTTCCACAATCACTGGCAAGAGCAAAGAATAAGTTGCACATGTATAATGCTCCTTTCCCATTACCAGCAAGGTGATCCAATTCTTGCTCTACCTTGTGTCTCTACTCAGAAGGCTGGAACCTGCTCCCTCCCTGCACATGCCTCTTCTTCCCTTGCCCATGGAGGCAGTTACCCGTGCTCACGCACTGCTCAGGTACTGGATGAGTGCCTTGGGAAGACACTGCTTAGATGGGACAATGGGCTGCCCTGCTGAGCAGAAACCCTCTGAGCCAAACTCTTGCATCCTCCAAAGACAGAGATGTGACTTCAAGTATCAGCCAGTCTGTAAGGCAAAGGGCTATACAGGACAGCAGGTGGGCATTTCACGGACAAAAAGTACTCTGTCCTCTCAGTGCTTGAATGAGTTTTGGAAAAATTACTCTATTTCACATAGAAAAAACAATGCAGAAGGATAAATGTGAATGATTCTGCCCCATGGGCCATGCCTGAGGCCCAGCCAGGAAGAATGTGAACTTGCTAAATCCACACATCCTTCAAGCAGGGTGACTGGGAACAAAAGCACCCTCAACTTTTCAATGCATGCACATGCTCAGGATTTCCACCTTCCACCGCCCCTCTTGTCAGCGTTACCATCAACCACCTCTCCCAGAGGGGTGGAAACCTGCTCTTAAATCATCCTGCTTAAGAAAAGGAAACCAGCTCACAGATGTGCAGGTGCAAAAAGCTGTTTGCTTTCACAAACCAATGCGTTTCTGGGCACAGATGGCTGCATGCACAAAGCCGACAGGTTCCTGATCAAAGGCTATTTTTGAAGACGTGGGCCTATCTGCAATGACATTAGGAAGCAAAGAACTAGAAAGCACACGCCTCTGACCTCAAATGGAAACGAGATCATCAGCTGATAAATAACTCCACCAAGGGACCCCTTAGTCCTGGGGCTGTTCCAATGACAAGTTTCTCACTTAACTGTTATTTTGCCATCTAGAAAGGCTGAACACAAGGACAGAGAGAGAATGACCTGCTGCAGAAGAGCTCTTTGATCACCTGCACCAATAGCTGAAGGGAAAAGCAGCAAGAATCCGATCTCTTTGCAAGCACTCAGCTCGCTTGGCACCGTCAGGCAACAGGAAGCTGAGCCTGCCTGGGGGGCACACATTGCCACCAGCTCCCCTTCAACCATCTCAAAGGCCTCCCCCCGCTCCCCCCGTGACATGTCACAGCAATACTTCCTGACAGATGTCCAGAGGATCCCGCAATGACCACAGCATCCTGTTGCTGCTCTTAAGGAAGCGGCCCAGGGTGGCAGCTCATGACTGCAAAGGGCAGATTTGCTCAGCTCTTGGTGTGCCCTGGATCTTTGAGCTGAACAATCACAGCTGGAGAGGATCGGGGAATTTCTGATGAAATGATTTCTTGCCAGGGGGGGAAAAAAAAAGTACATTTGGTGAAAAAAAAATAATCTTCTGGCAGAAATGTACTGGTTATGACGAAACATTTGCTGAATGACTTCTTAGGTTGGCTTTACTAGTGATGAAAACATGATGCTAGGGGAGAGGAATACACTGCAGAATATCCAAGTAGTGAGGAAGTAGCTCAGACCCCCAGGATACGAGATATCCTTGTTCAATCCCATTCTCTCCCACGTCAGACAACACTGACCTATTCCTGAGCAGGTTAGTGCCCAAATCACTACCAACCGACACTGGCACAGGGCTCTGCCAAACTCAGCCTCTGGAACTGCCCCACTTTGAATGAGAGAGATCAATTGGAGGCTTCAGCTGGGGAGTCCTCTAAGCAGGTACACGGCCAATTCAAGGATTCGGCTCTTCTCCACTACTTTTTTTTTTTTTGAGACGGGTGAAGGGAAAAAGACTGCATTTGTCTTGATTTTATTTTTTTAATCTTTTGGTTTTCTATGACATTAAATTTTCTCTCTCTAAGAAAACCGTTCCCCGTGCAGCACTGATCAGATCATATAACCACCCAGAGATGAAAACGGCCAGAGGGGCCAGGAGCCTCCTGTCTCACTCAAGCAGGTTTACTGTGACAGCTTCCATTTCTCACAAGCCAAACTCCACGTGAGATGTTGCTCTCAGGTGCAATTTACAGGCAGGACATTGGAGACGAGGATTTCAATATTTTAAAGACTTTATTTAATGCCTCAAGCTAGCTTTTCAAGACCAAAGCATCAGAAAATAACTTAAACCTGAGCAGACTAACAACGCAAGAGAAATACCGAATCCTTGACAGGCTCTGAATTTATGGCCCTGAAATTTGGAGATGGAAAGGATTTCTATATCACAGTTAGGACCCACCACCTCTGTGAGAGGCTTCAGTAACTGAATGCTACGAAGCAGAGCAAAGCTATTGCTATTTTATAGGAGAACTGAGCTTCAGAGATGTCCTGGACATGTACAGAGTCAGCCTCAGCCATACCCACGCTCCGACCTCCTGCAGCTGCACAGCAGGAGCTCATCTGCTCCAACCACCCATCTGCTCTGCGCTACACGAGACCAGCAGCGTGGCCCCTGGCCCGACGGATCAGTAACCCCATCTCCTGCAGCCCTTGGAATTTGCAGCGAGGTGTCTGAAGGGCTCAGGACTGCAGCTGCCAACCCCTGCTGGAAATAATGGGAAAGCCTGGCGCTCACCCTGCACTAGGGTCAGAAAGCAGAAAGGCTCACGTACTGCTGAACTGGATTTGTTCAGGGTTTAGTGGGGGAAGAGCACCAGGGAAACCCCCCAGGTGGCTGCACCAACATCCTCACCACTCAACTTGCAAACCCCTCACAACTGCTTTTGCATGAAGTGACTCAATGTGAAAACAGCATCACCGGTTACCGCTGCCACTCAAGCAGTGGGACAGGTTCCCCAGTATGATGCTGGCTCTCCAGCCTGCAAGGAAGCAGTACATCAGACCTAAACAGGTGGGTTTTGTTCCCAGAATCATGCAGGTCTATCAACATGAATTCCTGAAGCTGGATCACAAGGTTGTCTTCCATTTAAATTTTGTTTCCAAGCAAGCAGGCCTTACTAGATGCTACAGTTTGTTGCTTACACACAAAGGAGACTGTGTTATGTATAGCAAAGGGAAGGAAATCTTTCCAAGGTTCCCTTCCTGCAGTTTTTGCTTCAATTGTTTCGTCAAGGAAGGGACTGTCACTGGTGTTAACATGACAGCCCACAAGTGACATCTTTGGCCAGCTCTCACACAGCTGACTGACCCAGCAATGCATGAAAGCAGTCCACATAGAAGCTCTGGATCACTTCTGAGTGCCTGCCAGGACCTGTCCTGTCAGCTCTTCCGTCAAAGCACAGAGGTGCTCCGATCTCAGGAATATGTCTGCAACCTGAACCCTACCCCCTCTCCCTTCCAAAATCCAGCAGCCCCTATGTTTAGTCACTGCCATTTTTTAAAGCCAAAGCACCAGATGATAAACATGCCTATAGAGCTAAAAGCAAAAATCCCACCAATCTAATGCAGTACTCAGTTAAAAAAGGCACCCTCCTCTGTGCACAGAGAAAAGCAAAACTGGCAATCCACCTACGCACGCGTACTTTACCAGGCAGCAGCCACAGCCAAACCAGCCCTTGGATACGCTTTGTAAAAGCATTACACTAGCCTCTAAGCCCAAAAAAACAACGTGCAATTCAGACCACTTGCTGTTCAGGGCTGAAATCCTACATCACTGGCAGAGAGAGCTGTCCTGGACCCGCTCGACGTGACAAAGCCCATGCAGACACCAACTTGTTCTGCTGGCTTCCAAGACAACCAAAACACATATGAAAACGCAGGCAAGGCTTGCTTGCGCTTGCCCAAAACACCACGTGCGGATGAACCACTGGCAGACTTGGCCCAGAGGACTTGGCCCTGCTTTTTATTTCAGGTGATAACCCTTCACCAATATCTCAAGAGGACTCAACTTTATCTTGGAGTTTCAAACTCCATACCTACACTGCCAGAGAACAGGGAGCTGGCCTTCAGTGAGACCTGTGCATCCCACCAAAGCACAGGCTTCCAAGTAGACTCCAGAAGAGCAAGCAGGGAGTCTCCCCAGCCTTTCTGGGGCTCAGGCTAATATGGTCCCAAGGAAGCCAGCTGCTTTCCTCCTGGCTGCGCTCTTAAAAGGAGAAACAAAAATCAATACCTAGCAACTTTCTCAACACCCTGTTCCAGCACTGACACCACTTTATAAATGGGAGCAGGGACAGCGCCAATTAAACTGCCTCCTTCTCTCATCTGTCAAATAACAATAAAAAAGTGCTACATTTGCTTTTCTAACGTGTTCCTGCTTGCTAGCTGTCAGGGTAGCTACTCTGAGGAATGGCTGGCATGCGAGGGGAGAGGATGTGATGAAACGCAGCAGGGGTAGCACACAGCTCCAGGAAATCTTTTACCTGCTATCTATGGAAACAGATAATCAACTAGAAATAAGCAGGAAGAGAGTTCTCCTCTTTGTTACTACAGACCATCAAAATATATGGCAATGCATTCCCTCATTGCTTTGTCACCATTGGTCAGGTACGATTGACAAACTTGGTTGTATTAACACCTCTCAGTACGTTATGAAATACAAAGTGGTGCTCAACAACCATAATTTATACCACTGGATCATCTTTATATGAGCTATCCATCTTCTTGTGATCTGATTATTTATTTTTCCATGCACCTTGATAACAACTTTTTTTATTTTTGGTTTTGCACTCACCTCAGTAACATTCATCACTTTGATTGCTGCTAGCTGACCAGTCTTAACGTGGCGACCCTGTTAAAATAACAAAAGACTGTAAGTAAAACAGGTAGGCAAACTATGTCTGCAGTAACAAATGAGGCACGTAACACCTGGGCTTGAGTACTGGCTTTCAATCATGTCTCAACAACCTTTCAGTGATATAAAACTACCAAGGTGAAGTTTGCTGATGTGTTATCAGACTCGCATCCTTACCATGCTCTACCAAGTTACCTTTGTGGGGCTGAATTTCCCCCTTTAGTTCAAAGCAAGCAGCAACGCTGGGAGATCTTGGCTGCCAGAGCACAATAGGACAAGAGTTTATGGGTCTTCACTCAACTACTGTTCAACAGGTGTTGCTGCTCCTCCAGCCTCCTCCTTCTAGGAAATCTCAGCACAGGCCCAGGGTGACCTCATCAGAACCACCTTCTTGTCCTGCAAGCCAGTGCTGATGTGTGCTGGCAAAGCAAGGTGCTGGGTAGCTGGCACCGTACCCACCTCCCCACCCAACATGTTCTGGCTCACCTCAAGGTACAGAGAAAACTCTGGGTTTCAGGACATCAACCTGGCAATCTGTATGTGGCTGCCAAGAAACTAACGCTGTATGTACTTTCTTACTTTTTTTTTTTTTCCTAAAAAAAAAGATTTTTACTGTGAAATGCTTAGTTTTTAAAAATTCCTACTGCAGCTGAGTTAACTATATCTCAGCTACCTCCCAAAAGCATGCAGAAGCTTTGTATCTAAAATGTAATCTTCTGTAGTGGTGGGGAGGATCTCTCCCAGGGCTTTGACTACGTGTGCCTACATACGTACACACACTTCACTACTGAAATGCCCACACCCCATGACCATTATTAAGCAACAGATAACTGGTAATTTTAGACTAGGTAAGTGGCTAGTTTTTGAAAACAAAGCTAGGAAAACGGAGGTAATAGGGAATAATGCTATTAAAAGAGCAAACTTGATACTGAGACTGACAAAACATTGTTCAGAAGAACATATATTAGAAACGCAACCAGGAATCTTGTTGTAAATTGCACCGTTTCTTGGCTTGGTTAGATCAAGTTGCTCAACAGATGCTGTAGACACAGTGTTTTGCCATGACAACCAACAGTAATCCCATTCTGGAGGAGAGTATCAAAAGACTTACATGAACAGTGGGTATGACAGGCTACACGTCCTAACTCCTCACTTCCATTAAATGTTCAGCAATGGGTTTGAAGTTTTGAGAGTGCAATTTTGTTCCTGAAATACCAGTACCTGCAAAGCTGTACACTGAAACAACTAACTGACATCAGTTAAGGAAGCCGTAGGAAATCAGGAAATCAAATACGGAATGCTGCAGTTTGCAGACAAAATGATTTGCAGGTGGAATTTACACCTGCAAAATTAAAAGCTGGGTTGATGTCATTTTAAAACTCAGGTCCTATTCTGCACAAAATTGCATACCAGTGTTATTTCTAAGACTAAGCAATTTTGCATCAAAGAAAAATGATTCCTCGTTCTCAGGCAATATGTCACAGTCATGTTTTCTTTTACAGAAAACTAAATCTTGCTGAGTTTTTGTATACTTATACGCGTCCTCCTTCTGTGGAAGCACTCCTGGGATTGCAAAGCTTTTTCTCATAAACTAGAATGATAGGATTTATATATCATCACAGACCTCAGGAGCAAGACAAACAGGACACACCCTCACCGGGCCCATGACACACACGCCACCGGGCACCAGTCCGACAGATGCCGGTGTTTGGTCAGCATCCATCCCAGCTGACGTCAATCCTGGGTAGCAGGCTTCCTCTGCACAGCCACGGCTCCTGTGTTGGAGGCCATTGTTTGCAAATGTTTCCAGGCATTGAATGTCTTGGCAATATAGCGAGAGAGACCCTTCCACTAACTGCAGGCATCAAGACACGCTGGCAGCCTGACTTAACTCCAAAGTTTGCCTCAAGTCAAGTACGCTGACATTTCCCTGTCTCCGGCCACCATGCACAGCAGGTGACCAAGCCATCGAAATGATGAGTCTCTCCCGGGCTGCTCTACGTTCTGCAAAGGGTGATGTCAAGAATCAACACTGATTTTCACAATTACAGCAGTGAAGCATGGAGATGTGCTTCTTGACTGAAAAAGTAAATCAATCAATACTAGGCTAGCATTGCACTTTATACTGAATATTCATAAGAATAAGGTAGGGGGAAAGGCTTGGCATTCAGTTCCGATTTCAAAGCATGGTACCTGGTCAAACTGTCCCTCTGTATAGTAGACATTTGTTATTTTGCAGCCACAGTTATTTCCACTGCATGCAAACCTGCTGCCCTCACTCACTTTTAACACTACAAATGAGAAACAAAACCCCTCCTCAAAAGTTTGTAAAATTCGCATTTATGGGAAAGAAAACAGCAAGCCCTTTTGTTTTGTGGGTCATGATTCACCTTGGCACAGCAAACGTGTCCCTGCTAATCGAGACTCACAACTCGATCCTGATCCTGCGTTCCTAAAAGCTCCCACATCTGCAACTGGGCTGGCTGCTGGATGAGAGGAGCTTAGTCTGTGCAGAGAGGGCAGGATGATGCCCCGTGCCTTGTCTCAGTGTCCTATATTCCTCACACGAGCAAAGTTACTACTAGCCTGAGGGAGACGCGTAGGCTCACACCCAACCATCCCTCTGCACAGGCTCACCTGCATAAACACTCCCTGACCAGATAAAGCAGCCTTTACATGGAATTAAGTTCTGTTAACTACATGCACTTCACACCCTGATGTTCTTTTAGATCCCTTTTTCCTGGAAAAAAATAGAGGAGTGGTTCAGTCCACCAGAGAATCATAGAATGGTTTGAGTTGGAAGGGACCTCAAAGATCATCTAGTTCCAACCCCCTTGCCACAGGCAGGGACACCTTCTGTTAGATCAGGTTGCCCAAAGCCTCATCCAACCTGGCCTTGAACACTTCCAGGGATGAGGCATCCACAACTGCTCTGGGCAACCTGTTCCAGTTCCTCACCATCCTCAGAGGGAAGAATCTAAATCTCCCCTCTTTCAGTTTGAAGCCATTGCCCCTTGTCCTATCACTACACATCTTGCAAAAAGTCCCTCTCCAGCCTTCCTTTAGGTCCCCTTTAGGTACTGGAAGGCTGCTAGAAGGTCTCCCCAGAGCCTCCTCGTCTCTAGGCTGAACAACCCCAACTCTCTCAGTCTGTCTGCTCAAGAGGCTGAAAGGAAAGAGGCAGTAAAAACTAATTCCTGTTGGTTTGTGCAATTTTCAACTCACAACAATTCATTTTCAACAACTGTTATCACACCTTTTTCAAAAGAGTCTTCCATGTTTCTCGGCTGCATTGAGATGAAGAACCCCATCGTCCCCCACCAGCACAAGTTTGTGCAGGGTAATGCAGAGGGCTGCAGGTTCACCTCATGAAAAGCTGTAAACATATCTGTATATTTACATCCATCTTTCATCAATTATCGAAACGGATGAGTTAGTTTAAAAGCGTGCATAAAAAAAGTATTTTGGAGAGCGTAGCTAAATATGTATCTACAGCTATGTATCTCTATAAAAACATTTTCATCACGAGATACTAATTTTACTGCCATCTTGGCAGATTTATTTTGATTACAGTTGTACATTTTTGCAAAGTAAAGGATTTATCGTTATCATAGACCAATACATCTCAAAAGTCTCTGCACCTGCTAACGTATGCAACGATGCGGCAGAATCACACAGCACACACCGCCGTTTCTCCTCACCTCTGACATCATCCCAACATACAGAAATAAAACCTTTCCTTTAAATATCGCCAAAGGAAAAGGTTCAGTCAGTGGAGACAAAATAATCCAAGGACTCTGGAGATATCCTAAATTTTATTCCTTCTCCTCCCCAGAACTTCAGTCTATTCAGTTAGTTATGAAGAAAAGGGGCTGAAGCAAAGCCACCCAGCAGCTCACCCAAACACCCGCAGCCCCTAAGCAGTGGTTGCACACTGGCATCCCATTGAACTCAGCACCCAAAAAACCAAGTGTGCTATTGCAAGACTCCATGCAAAGGGAGCTGAAGCTTTCAGAGGACACGTGTCCATGTGGAGAAGGTCCATTAATGCCTGTGCAGCTTATTTGAGCAGGGTAACGCGCTCCACGTTACACCTTGCTTTAATGCACAGACCACAACTGTGCTGGCAATCGGAGCAAAAATCCTGTATTTCTCTCCTTTCCGTCGGGTTTTGAAACTGTTTCAAGTTCATTTTCCTTGACATCTCTACAAGCAGTAAACATCCCGAAACCAGCCCTGGGCTTCTTGTTAACACACTGACACTAGTGCCAAAGCAAGAAAAGGTTTCAGGGCCTGGCCCCTTATTTTTTCATTTATCAATAAATCTCAGAGGTTAGCCAGAGTTCATGGGAACTCACACATTGCTACTTTTGCTGAAGCCACAAGGTTGAGCGCATTTGAATTGTTTTGAGAAAGGTGGTGTTCTGAGTTTTGTTTAAAGCTCCTAGGAGCAACCGGCTGTTTTAACTGTTTCCCAACCAAATGAGACCAACAGATGCTCTTATGTCCAATAACAAGACGTGCAGAAGTTCATCCTTCCTGATTTAATCCAAAGCAGGAGGAAGAACAAGGGGCATCGCCCTCCCGGCCCTCTATGCAATCCACCGCTGACCATCCTCTTCAGACCATTAAAGCAAATCAGCCTGCTGTGATTCAAGATCCTCTGTTGCACGTTTCTCGGCAGAGGGCAGGAACGGTCTGTGGGCCCACTTCCCTAATAAAAGCTTCATCTTTCACCCAAATGCTCAGTTTGAGAGCAGGCTTCCACTCTGGAGAATGCAGCCAAACCATCCAACAGCCATCTGCAAGTCACCTACATTCCCCACACCAGGACACAGCATTAAATACCATCAAGCACATACAAAGCTTCCACATGAACAATTCCGAAGCTCAACGATTTCCTAAAATCGAAGTTCTTGCCTACATTTTGATGAGGTATGCAAGCTGGAAGAAATTCTCCCATTAGTTTTGAGTCCAGCTAAATTCCTTGTCTCTTC